AGCGATGCAGAATAAAACAGTTTCACGAGATACGTCAACGCAAGGGGCGTTTAAGGACCGTACACGCTCGGAGGACACCTGGGTTTTATTTTGCAAATATAAAGGTGTGCCTTCTATGTGGGCGACCCAAACCGTAGGAGCTTAAGCAATGTAACAAAAATTTGTCATAGAAATGAATGTTCGACGCACTTAACTGTATGAAACGGAAGTAGATCGAAATTGTTATTTTGAGTGATTGAAGTTTCGATAGCTGGACATAACCCAACGAAAACGGCATATAAATGAGTAAAATTTGAATTCTTGAACTTGTTGATCACTTGAGGAGTGATACGACCGCTTAACGTAATGCCACGGAAACTTCGAAAAGATAGCAGAATTCCATTAGTTGCTTTCATATAACTGCTAATTTTCTCGTTAACACCCGCGCAAGTGAGTGTGGTTACACGCTGATGAGGCGAATTGCGAATAAGGTCGAAAATTACATTTACGTTGCGTAACGTAAAACATATACGCACAATCACGATATATCAGAAGCACTCTGTATAACAATTTCGTTCGCCGTCGTTTCAGGCAGCGTGAGGCAATGGCATAAAATTAAATAAAACCACCCGAACTGTGGTATAATACGCAAGCGTCACAATTTGTAAACACAATTTTATGTTCAATCGCGAATGTGTTTATTTGTGGGCTCAGGTCAAAGGAATTGAGCCACTAGTTTTCAAAAAGTAATTGCAAAAAATATGCTTTCAAAGGTTACGTATGTATGTACGTCGACCGTATTGACGTAGGAATGCTTACGATGAAATGAATATTCACATTTTTAATGTAGCATTACATACAATGGAAATAGTGCATACTTACTTTGTACAAGCAAAAAGTATGTGCAAACCATAAATGCATACATACATACACAAAGTGGAATTCAGGGTTAAATTGCTTGTTCGCCGGCGTACGCTTTTTACCGGCCGTCTTCACATGCTTGCAAATCTCGCTTGCGTTCTGCTTTTTTCTCTCGCAGGCGAGATAGATGTTTTGTTGACTGGGCATTTGAGAGCATACTTTTTCATTTGTAAAATGTCGCCAAACAAGAAGGTTGCAGCCTTTCAGGCTCTTAAAAGTTTGAGAAAATTATAAAATCTGCATAAAGAGCGAAAAAGACGCAAGAAACGATTTTGGGTGAATCCTTACTTGGAAATAAGGGAAATCCATAGTTTGGAAACTCGGCTTCTAAAAGATGTCTTATGGGAACGCGAAACAGATTTTCAGAATTTTAATAGAATGGACATTGACCAAATTTGAGGACATTCTTTTGCTAGTAGGCAGAATACTATAGAAATATACATATTAATGTATGTGAATACAAATTGAAGTGTGCTTTTATGTTTACTATGTGGACTCTAAAATAAAAAAAAATGTGATATCTTGCCGAATTCGACTTGCAATTACGCTGCGCTTTATAGCCACTGGCGATTCATTCCAGGTATTGCAGGCTATTGTTGACGCACTACAGCACCAATATATGAGGGTAAGCTTTGAATTAGTTACTTTTATTTTCAATTAATTTTATTTCCCTCTGCTGGCACCTAAAACAGAAAATGAATGGCGCTCCATTGTTAATGATTTCGACAGACTTTGGCAATTTCCACATACTTTGGGTGCCATTGCTGGAAAACATATTCGAGTAAAGGCACCACCCTTTCAGGCTCAGACTTCTTTAACTATAAAGGATTCTTTCTTCTTCTTTTTCTTTTTTGGCGCTGTAACCGCCTAAGCGATTTTGGCCGAGTTCAGCAAACCACGCCAGTCGTTTCTCCTCTGTGCCAACTGACGCCAATTGGAAACGCCAAGTGAAGCCAAGTCCTTCTCCACCTGATCTTTCCATCGCAGTGGGTGCCTCCCTCTTCCCCTCCTACCACCAGCGGGTTCCGAGTTGAATACTTTCAGAGCTGGAGCGTC